TCCCCTCCTCCACTTCACCTTCCTCCTCTTCTCCCCTCTGCCCTCCTCCCCCCCTTCCCTCCCCCGCCAGGGGGGGCAATCTCATTCTACATGCGGTTTTTGTTGTCCGAGGTATTGGGGCCCCGCGGTGGTCATGAGTGGCCCCGCGCCCCGCGTCCCCCTGGCCCCCTTGGACTCGGCAACTCTCGCCGAGGCGTTCATCCAGCACGTGGAGAACACGGGGGTCAGGAGGGCATTCAGCATGGGGAGCTACAACTTCCTCACGAAAGACTGCGCCGTCTGCGTGCCGGGCTTGCACGAGTGCACGGCGCTGGTGGCATTGCTTCTCTCGCTTTGCCGTCCCTCTCTCGCTCTGCCGTCCCTCCATCGTCCGTGCCATGTGTCATCTATGTGTTCGATGCGGGGCCAGATTTGAAACCTAAATTGCAATTTCTCGGACGTCCTCTGTCAGAGATCGCACTGTGGTGTCCCGCACGTGAATAATGGTCGACCTTGTCATTCCTCCGCTCGCTTTCGACGTCGCCATTTTGGTTCGAGGTGTCTGGCTCTTTCGCTCAGTTGATTTTCTAGATTGGCCCGCAATGGGCATTGCTACTGCTTCGCAGCAGCAGCAGCAAGAGGCCCGTTTCAAGATCAAAGGGACCAAGATAAAACTCGAGCTCCAAGTCGTTGGTCGGGATCCGTCAATGGAGACCAGCCTGTCTTTTTCAGCATGCCGACCCAGCTCGACATCGTCTCGAAAGACGCGATCGACTGTCACACGCCGTCCCCCCGTAAGATGATGAAGAAGTCAGTGGAGGCAAGCGGTGACGCCGCTCCAGGAACGAGCAGCGGTGACGCCGCTCCAGGGGCACCCCAGGGACCACTCCAGGCCACAGCCGCGGGGAGTGCCAGTGGCGCCGCAGGGAGCGGAGGTCACATCAGCACCGCCCTGGACACCCCGCTGCTGCCGAGGGAGACCCTGACCGTGGAGGAGTCGCAAGACTACTTGGACGTGTCAGGCCTCGTCGGAACGTGGGCAACCCAGCACGTGGATGACCCTATCGATTTCTTGGGGCTTGGCGGCGATGTGAGCGTCGACTCCACCATTCACCCAGTCCATCGGCAGTGATAGCACCTCGGCCTGATTGAGGCGAACACGTTTTGCGTTTTCAGAATAGTTATTCTGATATCTAAATGGATCGCCCGTTATTCAGTGGTTATCCTATCTTGTTCTCTTGGTCGAGCGTAAGATTCGCGCCACCTTAGCACGTTTGCATAAAAAAAACTCACGTCCATCCTCCTTCCTCCCGTCGCCCATTCCCGCGCTCATTCATTCCACTCCCACTTCCGTCCTCCTCCTCATCCTCCCTTCGCCCACTCCCTCCACCCCCTTCCTCCCCCCTTCGCCCACACTCACCCCCGTTCGCCCAGTCCCACTCCCCCCTCCACCCCCAGATAGGAGATCAGGAGATAAGGAGGCATATAATGAGACAGTGAGGGAGACGCGGAGACAAGGAGGGATATTAGGAGATAAGGACGGAGATCAGGAGATAAGGAGGGAAATAAGGAGGGAGATGAGGAGGCGGAGGCAGATCGCAAGGGAGATAAGGAGGGAGATAAGGAGGTGGAGGCAGCGTGCTCGTTTGGGCTGAGGCGGGGGAGGGTAGATAATGAGGTGGGGGCGGAGGGGGAAAAGGATGGGATGGGGCGTGTTCGGTCCCCAGACTCCCTTCCCCTTGCCCCGCCCCCGTCTTCCCCGCGCCGCGCGCCCCGTGACAGGTGGAGATGCTGCTGCGGAATATTCCCGACGCCGACTGCCACTTCTCGATTCTGCGCCAGGCTTGCCTGACCACGATCGGGAGGTGCCCCGCCGTAGGGTTGGCACGGATGCGCCCCCGCGGGGGCGGGGGGCGGTTTTTGGCAGGCTGCGGGCAATGGAGGATGGGGGAGGCGACCACGATAGACAAATTGTCAGGGAGGAGGGAGAGGATGGGGGAGAGAGAGAGAGAGGGAGAGAGAGAGAACGAGAGCGGTCGGAGCAATCAGGAGGAGGGAGAGGATGGGAGAGATTGCGGGCAAGGGCGGATGGGCGGTCGGAGCGAGCAGGAGGAGGGAGAGGATGTGTGAGAGAGAGAGAGAGAGCGAGAGACGGGATGCGATCCCGATATATATAAATATAGATATATATAGAGAGAGAGGGAGCGAGAGAGTGCCACGGAGGCGGAGGAGGTTCATACAGAGGAGGGCAGATGCGAGAAGAGGAGGAAGGTGAAGATGAGGGGAAGATGCGGAAGGTGAAGAGGAGGAAAGAGACGAGGGGTAGGAGGAGGAGGAGGAGGAGGAGGAGGAGAGGGGAAGAGGAGAAAGGTGAAGAGGAGGAGATGGAGATAGAGAGAGAGAGAGAGCGAGAGAAGGGGAATGGTTGACGCATGCATATATATATACACATTGAGTGAGTGACACCCGTTAGAGGGAGTGGTCGGGATTGCGAGCGATATGGTGATATGTAGTTTATAAGTTTATCTATTTATATATATGTGTGTAAGCGTACATGCATATGTATGTATATGTGTATATGCATATGTTCGCCTGACTATAAAATAAATACGTGTGCACATTGATATTTGGAGAACAGCGCGAACAGTGCATAAACGCACGCACGCCCACGCACACACACACGCTCACACACATATATAAAGAGAGAGGTACCCAAAGTGCTGCCGCGAAGTGAAGACGGCTTCGGACAAGGAGCGCGCGGGATCGTTGGCGGACAAACTTGGCTGTATGTTGAAACATTTACGTCGTGTCCGCGACGACCAGGTCCGCCTTCGCCAGGCCGCGGTTCTCTATTGTATGTTGCGCACCGTCATCTTTGACCCCCCCCCCCCCGCGCGCAAGAGCGACGGTGCCGAATTGGGGATGTACGGTCCGAGGGAGGTGGCGGAGGGAGGGAAGGGGGCGGAGGAAGGGAAGGGGATCAGTTTACAAACGTTTGCAAACGTTTGCAAACGTTTGCAAACGTTTAAACACGTTTGGTACGCTCGCGGGAGGGGGCAGAGCTCATGGAGCTGCCTCGGCACGACCTCGTGACTCTCCCTCCTTCCTTCCCTGTAGTTCTCCTCGAAGCACGCCTCGCTTTCATCCTGGTTGACTCGCTTTGTCCGCAAGTCCTCTCCCATGCCCCCCCCCCCCACTGGCCCGTCCTCCCTCCCCTCCCCTCCGCCCCAGCGAGGCCGTGAGTACTTGTGTGACCCCTGCCCACGTGGACAGCTTGAACTTCTTCTTGCACCTCATGCATAAGCCGCCCGTGAGTCAGGACATCCTGGCGAAGGTTGGGCCTGGCAAGATGTCATCGAGGGCTTCTTCGATTGCATCTTCGAAGGGGTCGAGGGCAAACGCGATGGCGGTGGTGTGCCAGGACGTCTTCTGTTTCGTTTTGTTTTGGGGGAGGTGCTGAGGTTCAGCGGGCCGATGAGGGCGATGGCAACGATGCAGAAGCGGATGGGGGATGGGGAGGATGAAGAGCACGCGTATGAGGAGGATTGGCAGACGGGGGAGCAGGGGGGGAGGAGGAGGAGGAGCAGCAGCAGCAGAGGGGAGGAGGAGCAATAACATGATGAGAAACTTGGATCAGGCGGCATAGCGGGAGGACGGATAGCATGAGGACAATCGGTGATAAAGTTTGCCCTGAAGGGATAGGGGGAATGAATGGGAGAGAGGGCGTGCGGGGTTATCGCCGCACCTCCCCATGCGACGCTTCTCCCCCTCATCCACCGACCTGCCCATCCGCCCTCCTCTGCCCCCTGGCTCACGAATTCTCGGCCCTCGCTCCCACGCGCCCCCCTCCTTCTTCGGGCCCCCGATGCTCCCCCCATGGCCGTCCCCGCAAGTTCTCGCGCACCGCCCACTCGGCCGCCAACCCATCCCGCCCACAGGAGCAAGGTGAGACTCCGCGAACGCCCAGGCCGTCCAGGCCCAGGCCCAGCTGCAGTCCGGACGTCGCCTCGGGGGCCAAGCCCTCGGTGCCCAAGCCCAGCCACAGGGTTCAGTGCGACGAGCAGGAGCGGCGGTGGGAGGGAGAATGACAGGGGGAGGGGCGGGACGGGAGACGGACTCACAGGAGGCACATGAGGAGGTGAGTGGGGATTCGGCATGCTCGGGCCGATTGTTTGGGGCAGGAAGTGCGGCTGCCCGAAACGCTCCCGAGGAGGCAGTCAGATGATTCGGGGCGGGGGCGGGCGCGGGAGACACTATGGGGGGCCGCAGGAGACGGACAACAGCAGCGACGACGACGCGCACGACGGCGACGCGTACGGGCTGCGCTCCAACTCCGACGAGGACATGCTCAATGACGAGGAGCTGGAGGCGAACCGATCTCGAAACACTGCCCTCTCCATCCCTCCGATTCTTCCACCCCTCCGTCACTCCATCTGTATTTTGTCCACGCGTTCCGCCCCTGCGTCTCTCCAGATCTCCAAGCACATGTGGTTGCACGGACTTAGATTGCATCACATAGCTTGCACAACATATATTGCACCACATAGATGGCACCACATAGACTGCATCGCATAGTTTTCACCCGTAGATTGCACAACGTGTACTGTACCACATAGGTTACACCACATAAATTGCACGGCATAGCTTGCACCACATATATTGAACCACATAGATTGCACCGCACACCGCATGTATTGCTAAACCACACTGTTTGGTGTTCCTCCCCATATTCCCCCGCATCCTCCCTTTCATCCTCCTCCCCCTGCTCCTCCCCCTTTATCTCTCGTCCTCCTGCCCTCGTCTTCCATGCTCTCGTCCTCCTGCCCTCATGCTCCTCCTCCTCCTCCTCCTCCCCCCCCTCCGTATCTCTCGCCCTCCTGCCCTGCGTCATCGATATTCCTCCTCCCCTCCTCTCCGTCCAGTTTGACAGCGTAGCCATTTGGGCCCCAGCTGGTTTCCAGCACTCCGCCGCACGATCGTGCCACCTGGGCTAGAGCTGTGGTGCGATGTCGACGCATGAGGTGGCCAGCGCGGAGGATATCAATCCCGAGGACATCACAGCTGCCCTCGCCGCGGGCAGCGCCGCTGGCAGTGGCGAGCAGGGGATCGCTCAGCAGGCGGACAGCGCCGCTGGCAGTGGCGCCGCTGGCGCGGCGGGGACCTCTCAGGAGGCCAGAGCCGTTGACGGCGGCGCGGTGGGGGAGCTGACCCAGGACGAACTCTTGGATGGGTACGCCGCGGTGCACTTCGTGCAGGAGAAGTGGGAGCGTTTGACTACGCAGGCCCCATTCCTCAGGATGCTCATAAGATGGTTGGTCCAGGTGCTCCCGCTCATGCTGCCAGATGACTTTTCTCGCGACATCGACTTTTTGGAGGTGATGACGGGCTCAGGGCGGTTGTCGGACGAGTGCATGGACATCGGGAACGCGGTGAACTACGACCAGAACTTCGGCAAGGACTACCAGCTTGAAACCAACGACGGTTACCACAACCTGATTCGCCTGGCGTTGCGCGTGAGGCCCAATGGGGTGGCGTGGATCAGCCCGCCCACTGACACGTGGATGGAGGGCGACATCGGCGGCAGGACGGACGCGAATCCATAGGGCAGCGCCGCCGACGACTCCGACGGCCTCGTTATCAAGGAGCAGAACAGGATTGCGATTCGCCTCACCGTCGTGGGGACGATCCTGTGGTTGCGCGGGGCGCATCAGGCGTGGGCCCATCCAGTTCGGTCGCTCATGTGGAAGTACGAGCCCGTCAAGATGCTCGGCCAAGTCATCACGACGTTCGCCACCAAGACCAACCTCCAGACCTTCGGGGCGCCGTCCTTGTCCGAGCTGTTCGTCCGCCACAGCTGCCCCGAGTTCTACGATCTCGAGAGGTCCAGGCCGAAGACGCCCAAGCGCAAGACAGCAGCCGTCGGCGACGATGATGACATCACCATCCCCTGGGAGTTCGCCAGGTGCATCAAGTCCGTCGTGAACAAGATCGCTGAGATCAGGAACGGCCAGGGAAGGATCTACGACTACCTGGCCACGAGGCGCCGCGTGCCAGCGTGGAACCGCACCCCCCCACGACGTTCCTCCCCCTCTTTTTTTTTCTCCTCCTCCTCCTCCTCCTCCTCTCCTCCTCCTCCCACTCCCCATCCCACTCCTCCTCCTCCTCCTCCTCGTCCTCCTCCTCCTCCCCTGCCTCATCCTCCTTCCTCACCCTTCCTCCCCGCATACTAGTGTAAGCACTGCCCAGTCAGAGGAGGAGGAGGATGAGGGACTAGGAGGAGGATGAGTGAATAGGAGGAGGAGGAGGAGGAGGGAATAGGAGGAGGAGGGCATAGGAGGATGGGCTGGGCGAGGGGGAGGATGATGGAGAAATGATGATACTATAGATGATGAGTGGCAGTTGCCACCTGACGGGGTTGCGGTTTCGATCTGGCGCGCGGCCCCCCGTGTCCGCGCAGGGCGCCGCTGGCGCTGAGCTCGTCGAGTGCAGCTTCGAGCCCGACCGCTTCTCAGCGCGCCATGGCGGTCGATAGCAGTCCATCGGTGACCCCCGAGGTGTCGTGTGTGGGGGGCTTGTAATGCATCCCCCTTCTCCCCCTCCGCATCCTCCTCCTTACTCATCGCAACGTCTCCTCATCGCCTTCCCTCATCCCTCCTCTCCCTCCTTCCCTCCACTCCCCTCTCCTCCTCCTCCTCATCCTCCCCCGCCCCGCATTTTACAAGCCCCCCCACCCCCCCCACCACCCCAGGTTACCCCAGCGAAGCCCCGCCGTCGGATCTCTACGAAGTCGCCGTCGCCCAAATCGGATCCGCGGGTAGAGTCTAAATGCGCTGGGTTTGCCCACCCCCTACTCCCACCGCCCTCCCCCCCCCGCCTACTCGCCTTTGCGGCCTCCCCCGTGCCCCCCGTCCACTCACTCACCCCCTCACAATTGCAGTATTCTTCCCTCCAACTCGCACCCCACTATTCTAAAAATTCCCAGTTTTATGTTTAAACCTATTCGTTGGCTTCCGAGGAGGTCAAAACCAGTGCCTTGACCTATATGTGGGACAACATGGGGCCAGCGACGCGGATCCGATTGCAGGACCCGCGAGCAGAATAAACTGTTCGATTATGCACGCGGGTGCACGTCAGGGCCCGCGTGCAGAAATCGAATATGTTATTTTGCACCTGAAGGAGCTGGGGTGGGCCCCCCACGCAGGGCAGCGCGTCTGGCAGCGCTGTGGAGATGTCTCCCGTGCATGGCGCAGGCGCCGTCGTCCCAGACACGGGGGATGACACAGGCAGCCTCGACGACGCTGGCGGCGCGGTGGTCAGCGCCGAGCCGACCACCACCGAGACGGGCATCACCGCGGCGGGCACCGCCGCGCCGAGTGGCAACGACCGCTTCAAGCGCACGAGGTCGCCGCAGCCGTACGGCGGAGCGGAGGACGACATCCCCGAAGCGGAGCTGAGGGAGATGACCAAGTGGATGAAGACGTTCCATCCCGCGAGGGAGTGAGTGGCCTACTTCCGTTCATTTCAAGCGCGTGTCGCGGCACGCTGGGCAATTTCGTGACTCTCGTCGAGAGCACACGGCGCGCGGCCATCGCGCGCTATTTCCATACCAAGCCCTGGCGCTCAGGGATGACGCTCGTTGCTGGAGGGGTCGCATCCAGTTAGTGATCAGCTAGGGTATCCCCCTCCTCCTCCTCTTCATCCCCAGCAGAGTTCGGCAGAGTTCAGCTCATTATCCTTCACATTCCATTCAGCATGACTCCCCTTCTCGTGCCTCCGCTTCAACTCCTGACACTTATCAATATCACCTCTCCTCTCCCCTTCAAACCCTTTCAATATTATCATGCGTATACGGTCTAGTATGATGCAGTATGTATGTACGTATGTATGTATGTAATATATATATATATATGTATAAATATATAGATATATCCACCTCATTTGGGTATCACATATATGGTTGTGACCGTGCCGTCGTCGCCCCGTGCCGTCGCCCCACCCTGGACATTTGGGCATGTATGTATATACATGGATTGATATATCCCCTGTGCCGTCGCACCGTTCATCACTCGAGGGCCCGTCCGCCATGCTTCCTGAGTTCCCGTGAGTTGACCTCCAGATTATGCCCATCTGGATCGCACATCCCGTCTTCCCTGTTGGAGAACGCGAGAGGGGAGGGGGCGGAATGGGGGCGGGGATAGAAGGACTGCAAAGGGAACGGTTGCTCCACTAAACAAACAGACGCATCGGGGATGGGAGATGGGGAGCAACGGTAGAGTGGCACAGTGACGAATGGTCAGGGAAAGAGGAACAATACATTGGAGTGGTGGAGGTGATATGGGAAGGGAGTGGCAAGGCGAGGATTGGCACGGGGGTAGGGAGTGATGCGGCGATGGTGGGCAATGTGAGGGAAGGGGCGATGATGTCAATTGTAAGGAAACGGATGTGGAGGAGTGGCGTTGGTCACCGTCTCGCCCCCCCCCCATCCGTTCGCGTCTGGGCCCCGACTGCGCCAGGCGATGTGCGCCTGGATGCACGAGGGCCGCGAGTTGCAGGAGATCGAGCCGCCCGCGAAGAGGCGCAAGAAGAAGAAGAAGAAGCGGATCCAGCACGTGGGCCACATCGACCAGAAGTTGGGCACCAGCATTGCGAATCAGTTCAAGAACATCAAGAAGGGCATCGACGTTGACGAGGAGGCGCTCCTCCTCAAGAAGGCGCGTGAGGCGGAGGTGGTCCCCACGAAGAAGGCGTTGTTGAAGGACTCAGCCCGCCCCCCATTTCCATCCCCGCCCTCCAATGGTTGGCTAGGAGTTCCACTAGCGAGAGTGAGGGACAGATATTATATGATACTGGTGTTGGTTAAATAGGTGCACGTATGGCTGCATGTATTTTGCATTTGATGATCGCATTGTCTGCTGGTCGATGGGCGTATATTTCGTCGGGTGTGATGTCAATGCATGTTGGGTTGTTTCCAATCGATGTGGACGTTCATATGGGCGAGTGCTGATCGCATAGGCTGTGGGCCGCCACGCGGGTACTCGGGAACATGCGGTAACCACTCTCTCAGGAAATCATCTCGGAGAAGAAGGATGAGCACCGTCGCATGGACCACCCCCTCATGGGCACGCTGTACGCTACCTTCGGCACGAAGGCGACCTACTACCAGTTCCAGAACGAGATCACTGGCAAGAGGCAGCTGTTCGTGAACATTTCGGACACCCAGTCGGCCGACCACGCGACGATGTGCATCAACCTGGTTCAGCAGAGCTGCAGGCTTTCACTCGACAAGGCTGCAACCTTGCAGCTGCGCGCCAAGCTGTTGGAGGAATCGACCGAGTGATTGTAGCTCGCGGACAGGCTCGGCGCATGCACGGCGTGTATTCGGTGTGATTTCGCACGGAGGGGACGTGCGATCAGAGCGTGCATAGACGACACCTCTCATATTTACTCGCCCGCTCGATCCTCCCCCCCCCCTCCCATTCCCCGTCCTCATCCTCGTCCCCCTCCTCACCCCCTCCTCATCCCCCTCCCCATCCTGCTGCCCCCTTATTCATCCTCGTCGATCCTCCGCAAATACATCGGTCATGGGGGTGCGCTCGTGACGTGCTTCGAGTGTGGATGAGGAGGTGGTGAGGAACGATAAATGAATACTTGAGATGAGAAGTTATCGGATGAGGGGGAGGACTGATAGGGGGTGTATCGGATGATGATGTGGACGCGGTACGCCGCGGGCAACAGTGGCGATGCTGTACGGGCACAGGTTGTCCATCGGTCATGCGTCGGTGCACGCGACATAATGTTGCAATCGGACGGTCAATGACACATAGTGTGGAACCACCACCACAAGGTTTTGAATTATCGCATGGATGTTGTTCATTTTGTTTGGTGTATCATTTGGTTTAAATGTTGTTGTTTGTAGTTAGAATGTGTTTAATACTGATTAAATATGTGCGCACCGATATATGATTTTACGTTTTATAATTTCCGAATTTCCAAACGTTTGCAAACGTTTGCAAACGTTTGCAAACGTTTGCAAACGTTTGCAAACGTTTGCAATTTAACAATAAACGTGTTGGTATATTGTAGTGTCATATTTTACATTTTGGTATTTTTAATGTTAAAACTATGTATAATTAACCATATAGTATTGGTGTTTCGTTCGAATCTAACGTTTATATATATCAGGTTTAGGATGTGTTACAGCTGTTCCAGTGTTTTTGTTTAAACAATTTATTGAATTATGATTCAGTATATATGTAGCCATGGTACTATTTCATAAATAATATGGTGGTTGTGTGCATGTGTGTATGTGTACGTAGCCGCTGTATGCGTCCGCTCAAGCCAATACTTGGGCAGGTTGCCTGTGAGTGGGGACTACGCTGCCCGCATCCCTCCGTGCGTGACTTCTGCGCATCAGACCACTGCAATGGCTAAGACTGGTCGCGCCAGAGGAGCTGCCAAGGCGACCAAGGCAGTTGCCAGGGGCGCAGCCAGGGGGGTGCGCAAGGCTACCATCGGCATAAAGGTTCCCAGTGATCTAACGCCAGTCCCTGCCAGAAACGACCATCGAATTAAACAGCACATGTGTTTTGTTAAATATAACTTGTCTATGCCCCCCGTGTGTTGCCCGATCGCCCCCGTGGGTCTGTGTTCCCAGGTGGCTAAGAAGCCTGCTGGTGCTACTCCGACGGCCATCGTTCAGCACGGTGAGTCGGGGACCGACGGCGCTAATTGCGGCCCCAACCTTCCTTAGATGCGCTCGTCCACAGCTCCTGTCGTAGACGTGCGCAGCAGGTATCGCCCCGAGCTTCATGCAATCCCCTGCTAGGAACAAGATCGCGGACCTGCTCGCGAAGGCCGAGGGCTTGGACTTCCAGCAGCGCGTCGAGCTCTTCAGGATACGATTTCGCAACTATTGTGAATGATGCGTGCCGAATCGCTCGCGTGTCTCCGCAGTGAGGATCAGATGATATGAGTACGAGGGGGACGACGGGATGAGGAGGATGAGGGTAACCAAAGTCGGTAATGATAATGATGAGCAATCAGCCACGCAGCAGCGACATGATGACGATGCTGGTGACGATGAGGATGAGAAGGATGACGAATTGAAGAAATGTAGGTCAGACGCGTCATGGGCACGAGGAGGATGTGGAGGAGGATGCATGCATTTATTCTTATACATGCATGTATACATAACGCGAATGATCTCAGGAGCGAGGGCGACTGGGGCAACGTGCAGCAGCTTCGCGCGCTCTTCGACGCCGCGGAGATTCGCAAGTTGCACGGGCAGTTCAGGAATGCTCGCAACGATAACCAGAAGGCCCAGGAGATCTTCGACAACGTCGACAACAAGGGGCACCGCGTGGGGAAAAACGACGCCAAGGTCAAAATGCTCGCGGGGTGGATCAAGGACCTCATAGATGGGCCAGCGCGCCGACTCGTTCCGCTTGCCTCGATCCACAGTCGGAAGGTAAGCGCGTCGACTCGCCCCGCCTGTTCCCGCCTGGGGGTCTTCTCGCGAGTGATGCGAATATTGTGCGTACTCCACCCCATTCCTTGCCTCCTCCAGCTCCGACGCTGATGTGTCCGACGACGGCGTTGATGCTCAACGCTGCTCCTCCAGCTCCTCCAGCTCCGACGCTGGTGTATGAAAACAATGCTCATATTCCAGCAGAGGATCCAGACATGAAGAGCGGCTTCTGGAAGGTCTGCATCAGCCTCGGTATGTCGGAGGACTTGTCTCGCAAATCACAATGGAAAACATGGAAACAAATGATGGAGAAATACACGGAGAGCGAAGTGGAAGAGATGGTGGAGCACGGCTCCATCAAGGTCCAGGGTAAAGGGTTGAAGCACGTTTCTGTTTCGGTGGCAAGCGATTGTGCGGAGATAGATCAAGCATTCGAAGCACGACAGAGCACGGTGAGGAGGCCTGGGAGGGAATAGTGGCGGCAGATGGGGCTCGGTGAGGAGGGATGGAGGCAGGGCAAGGACGATGACCGAGGCTGTAGTGCGAGCACGCGCTCATGCGTTCACTTCGTTGATAGAGATTCGCCATCGCATGATCGTGCGATTGAGAATGAGCTGAGCTCACGTGCGTTGGGATGGCGGTCCCGTCGTTGGGCGAGGGTGACTGGAAGAGGGTGGATGGAGGTAGGAGGGCATCGGGGACGGACGGGGGGGGATGAGGAGGATCAGATGGATGAGGATAATGAGGATGAGGCGCGGGGGAGGGAGGAAGGACAACGCATGACGAAGGAGGATGGAGGATGAGGATGAGGAGGCAAGAGGTGGGAGAGGCATCCGCCGTGGCGAGCCCAGGTTCGCAAGAACCCGCGCAACCCGACGCGCAAGCAGTGGCTGGACCACGACGAGGCCCACACGAAGTCGTTCAGGCGCCGCAGGGAGGACACGCTGGAGGGCTCGAAGGCGATCACTGGGGACGAGTTCAAGCAGCTGCATCAGGACATGACCAAGAAGAAGATGATCACCGACGCTCGCGCAGGAACTTTTACTTTGTATATGCCTGAATGTGAGTGCGGGTGCGTTTGGCGCAACTGTCGTGTACTTACTTTGCGTGTCTTGTGCGTGCGTCTGCGTGGACTTAGGCCTTCGTGTGCATGTGCGAGTCATCATCTTCGCGTGATCGAGCTCGACCTAGAGGGGCGTTGCTTTCAGTAAGGGAGATTTGCCCATGAGGCCCTCGATCGGGATCAGGGCACGGCGGAGGGAACACATTGCCAGCCGAGCATATTTATACAAGCCATCTGCAGGGACCTCGTCGAACATGGGCCTGGAGATGTCTTCGGGTGGCGAGGATGGTGACATTGATGATGATGAGCCGCCGCCCACGCCATCGAGGGGCCGCGGTCGTGGTCGGACTGCTGGGCGCGGGCGGCCGCGCTCGGGCGGCGTGTCCGCGCCGCCCAAGAGCGTGATGCGCCTGGATCTCGCCTCTTAATCTGCCATGGCAGCCCTGTCGTCTCCCCGAACCGCCCCGACGACGCTGCGCCAACATGTGACCGCGCCTGCTGGCGCAGTGTCCTCGGGGCGTCTCGGGGGGGGGTGACAGGCTTGGTCATCGCTATGAATACCCCTGAAGGACGCCCAGATCAGGAAGGTCATGACGTCCATCGAGCCAATCTCCAAGGTCACCAGGCTCGATGTCAGCGACTACGAGAAGACTACGAAGTACATGAAGGCTTCCTATGCCCAGACGGAGGCCCGAAGCGCCGCCGATGAGGATGGAATTATGGTTATGGGAGGATGAGGATGATGGGGAGGGGGCGACGAGGGCGATGGAGAGGGCGTGGATGAGGAGGAAGAGGAGGAGGAGGATGATCCGTCAGACGAGCGAGGCCTTGCGTCAGCATCGCGTGCAAGGGGGTTCAGCCAAGCCTATTGTTCTAAATGTAGATTGTACCATAGAACGCACTATGATATGACAACGGCTCGAAACGGTATCGCGCAGGTTGGAGGATCCAGCTATAGATATGCGCCCACCTTTAATGTGGTGGGTGACGGAGCGACGAGGGGGATTATCAGGATGGTGAGGGCGATGATGAAGAGGCGGTGGCGTTCCATATCGCACTCCTCGTCATTATGGGGTTGGTTTTACTTGTTACATCATCTCGCCAGGCCGAGGATGTTGGAGAGGGCGTGCGGTGGGCATGAATTATCTAATGTCCAACATATTGTATGTTATGTGCAGGCGATGTCATCATGTGGACACTGGCTTCTCGCCTATCCCATTATGTCTAGACTGTGTAGCAATTTCTAGTGCCAGGTGTTCATCTCGTCGTTGCAGAGCATCATCCAGCAGCAGGACTCGCAGGCGACGTCCGATGACATCAACAAGGCCAAGAAGGCGCCGACGGGGGTGAGGGTCAGCGATACGTAATGACGCCTCGTGGGTCGAAGCGAAGTGCCACAGTCGATGCGACGGGGGTTCGGCGCTCGCGCGGAGCCGAGGTTGAGGTTAGGCAGGGTGGGGCGAGGGGAGAATGAGGCCGAGGGGGGTTGATGGCGAACAAGGGGGGTGAGGTTGACGGCCACGGGACGGGGGATCAGATGGAGGGGGAGTGGGAAGATGCGGGGGGTGGAGGGTGGAGGAGAGATGAGGACGGAGGACTCGTGAGGCAGCCATGAGGGGAATGGTGAAAAGGGAAGGGATTGGGAGGATGCGCGCCCTGGGTCGGCCCAGTCAGGTGCTGAAGAGCGCGCGCGCCATCATGGGCGAGCTCGGGGATCTCATGGTGGAGAAGAGCCCGTCCCTCGCAGGGATGCAGAAGCAGATCTTCGCCTGCCGCGACGTTTTCTTGCAGGCCAAGAAGCTCAAAGTCCTCCAGCCCTGATTCTTCGAGGCCTGGGCTGCTGCCGCGTTTGTGTTGCTATTCTGCCATGCCGCCAGCGTTTGGTATATGGGGGGGGAGGGGAAGGATGAGGAGGAGGAGGAGGAGGAGAAGGAGGAACAGGAGGGTACATGGCGTATTGGATCACGGGAAGGGTTGAGGGCTGATTGCAACCAGAGGCTGCAGCTCAGCATAGCTGCAGTTGTTGCATGCTCGCAATTTGGCGAGATCGGTGGCCATTTCCCACGGCAGATTGCGTTGCTTGCGCCGTCGGCCCAGTGCAGTGACGCTGGAAATTACTGGCAAGAGAGAATGGTTGAGCTGACGAGCAAACAAGTTCCATTTGATCGGAGGGGCATTCACAGAGGCTCCGACGCCGAGGGCTCCGAGGCGATAGCACGAGGGTCGGCGGACAGGGGCGTCAACCAACGACCGTGGATATGTATGCACTTACATGCACGTGCGTATATATGTACAAACCGTGTATGTATAAAAGGGGTATGGCTATGCTCAGTGTGCAATGGGCGGTCTCGGTGGCCAGTCGTTTTGTGTACATTCGTTTCATTGGCCCTCTGTGGCCGCCCTGGGGCCACGATAGATGCCCCGCTCCCCGTCGGGAAGCCCCCCCCCCCGTCATCGAGGGGGCGCACGGGTGCAAATGAGCGACGTGTACATGGGATGGGCGACGGACAGTGCGATTGTTCGCAGCAGCTTGGCAGCTTTTTTTCAGCCCGAGCGCATGGTTTGTTGTGGATCGCCCCGTCTGCATGGGTGACCGCGCGGGCCATCGCCGCCAGAGTAAGCGCCGTCTGGTCACTGAGCCCGATACTTCGGACTCGGATGACAACAGCGAGGAGCTTTCGGCCACCCAATCAGATTGATGCGCTCTGTGACCACGCAAACTCTACACACCCACTCCTACCGTCCCCATGTCCTCCTGGCCATCCCAATCGGCGTACCCCCCATATGCCCGCCACCCCGCTCCGTCCACCGCCCCGCCTCCAGCTCCCGCCCCTGTCCAAAGCAAACGTAGTGACCTCTCCCCCTTCCGTCCTCCCAGCGGCATGCGCGGTAACTGAGAGCATCGATCGCGAGAGCTCTCGCAGCCAAGCGTTATGTTTGCAATATCTGCCCCCAAGGATGATCGACCCCGCGAGTTTTCATCATTCGCAACCATGGTGCTGCACGACTGGGCCTGGGGAAAACTCTTCGGGACCGATGTGCAGCGTTACTGCCATGCTGCATATCGAGACGGACTAAGGGGTGTAAAGGAAGTTGCGGACATCGCAGCGATGGGCTCCTGGGGAGGCAGCCCTGGGAACGTGCATGCGGCCCTTGTTAGGAAATACATAAAAGACAACACGTTCCCCGCCCCAGAAGTTGTTAAGGTTCGATGCCGAGCACCTCGCACGATCGACGTGATGGAATCCCCGTGCCACATCCTGTGCCCTCACGATATGGTCTCGGCCATGTACAAAGAGCACCCAGATAAGTTTCGTGAATTATTTGGAGTCGAACAACTTTCGACTTTCTGGAGTGGAGCATCCAGGCACTGGGGCAAGCTAACTAGCTTGGCTACCGACATGCGCGCGTGCAGCGATGTGATTTGGCAGGGGAGGCGTTTGCCGCAGGGGCCAGACATGGGCGCGCTCCACGGCTACATCCATAGGCCGTGGGACTCTGGATTGGAAGTCGCCCCTTACGCAATTCACGTCGCAGCGCGCTGTCTGTGTGAGCTTTTTTTTCGTTCTGGGCCCGCAGGCAAGATCCACGGCTTAAGGGGCACCCCGTGTGGGGGGTACGGGACCGACATAAGTGGGCAATACCCTTACGAATACACGGCGACGGGGCCGAAATGCAAACGAATGATAGTGTAACAGCTGTGTCATTTACATCCCTAGTGGCTGAAGGCTCCACGCGGGCTTTATCGTTTCTGGTAGCATTGTGGCCGTTGTCGGCCACGGCAAAGATGGGCGAACACGGGGCTGATACTTGGATAGAGATATGGCAGGTGATCAAGTGGAGCCTAAACGCGTTAGCTACAGGGCGGCACCCCGATAAAGATCGTTTCGGCTCGGCCTCCCCGCTGCCCGCGCCGCTAGCAAGAGGAGTTCTGGACAGGATGGGGGCGGTGGGCGATGGGGGTAGGGGGAGGACGTGGTACTGGGGCAAACTGAGGATGGGGGAGGATGAGGAGGGCGTGGGAAAGGTGGAGGTTGGAGGATGCGTTTTAAATCGCACCGTGGATCCTGCATGCCTGGTCCCACGCGTTGGGCAGCGTATCACCGCGGCGATCCCTTTCTAGAAGACTCCCACAGGGCTGATGTTGCTGGAACATATTTATGTAGCGAATCAGAACCATTCAGATGTTTCATACATAGCATCATTGGGGACATGGAGTTCTTCACACAGCATCTTGGGACGCCCGCGCCCAATTCTGAGGAAATATGCTGGCTGTGCTCGGCCACGCGTCGAGATGACAACCCGTGGAACTGCTTCCACAAAGGGAGGCGGCCTGGCCACTGGATGCTTACCCATCGGTGCCCCCCGTATCATTTTAATCACCCAATCTTTGAAGTTTGGGGTGTGAGCGGGTACTCCATTGCGTTGGACGTGATGCATTGCGTCGACCTGGGTATAACTTCTCATTTAATAGGTAATACGCTGTACGAGCTGGTGTACGAGCAATCAGCAAAGACTGCCACTCAAGCAACGCAAGAACTTTGGGAAGAGATTCAAGCAGAGTACAGGGCGTTGGATATCCCCCACCGCGCAACATTCCCACGCTTGCGCGAAGTCCGACACATAGAATCTAAACAATAAGGAAGTTCAGAACAATACAAAACACATTCCAACATACCCACACATAACACACGAAGTCCCCTACACAACGCAGCGGTCCCTAACATGCGAAGCCCCATACAAAGCCCCCCCCCCCCCCCCCAAACATGAACACCCGACGCCCGTCACGCCCCGAACAAATGCGCCCTATCGCGCGCATGAGTAGCCTGGCACTGCTAGGCGAGCAGAAAGTTTGGACGCAAAATGTTCGTATCAAAGCCGAACAGTCCCCATGCCGACTATCCTTGCTTGAGCAAGTCCCTGAAGGCTGCCCAGCAGCGCTGGCTGGTGCCAGTAGTG